TCCATTATATGAGTGTACTACAGTTTTTTAGATTCCTTTAGTGATGGAAATTTTAAGTTTTTTCTACAAACAAGACTCCATTGAACATCTAGATCTTGTATGTATTATATGAGAGTTCTAGGGCAGTGGTTTTCTAAGGTTTTGCTTGTATGTCCTCTAAAATCTTTTTTGAAAAATTATGAATACACTAATTTTTAAGTTGATATCTGAAGTGTATCATGTTTAAATAGTTTAGGCATATTGTAGATTTGCTTTAAATATATTTTATCAAAACTTTGTTCCTGTAGATTTAGCTGATTTTAATAATGAAAAGTGTCTGCTCTATAATTCAGTTAACAAAACTAGTCAACCAGATAAAACTAGTCAACTGAGTAAAACTTACTTTATGTTAGAAAATTCTGACTTTATTTTTAGACTCAAGTAAATGAGTTAGTATGTATCCATGTGACCATCAGCTAATTTAAGTTTGTTCCTGGGATGAAATAAGGTGCCATCTCCTCTTTAACATTTCTTATACAAGCTCTTTTTGCTTTGCCTTCTCACATTTCTCAGGGCATTGCCTTCTTGAATTGTGTATTTGTTTGATGCCCTGTTGGTGTTTATATTCCAGAAGAAAGCATTACAAAAAGATCCAGAAGGAATGAGAAGTATGCCTTTCTTTAGCGAAGGAAAAGGGTGATAGTGAAAGGGGAGTTTTTAAAAGAATCCATACTACACAGACATATTCACAGGCAGATCAAATCAGGAAGGAATATATACAAAGTTTACAATCTGAAAATTGGTACTCTTAATGCCCCTGGATTATGCATGCCCCTGGATCACTGGAAAATTTCTGTGCTCCCCTAGTGTACCTTGGTCTAGGCTAGGATATATGGATAGAATTAGAATTTCACATTCATGAAATATGCACATCTTTCACTAGATGTTGCCAAATAGCTTTTCAAAGTTTACACTCTAGTCAACAGCTTATGAGAGCTTTAATTTTTCCATAACCTACCTATCTTTAAAATTACTAGATTTTTACATTTATGCTAATATTATGTAATGGTATTTTACTTTCCATTTGCCTAATTACTGCTAAGATTGAACATATTTTCATATATTAATATTTATTGGCCATTCCAGTTTCTTCTGTGAACTGCCTGTT